CTTCTCTGCCTGCCCTTCATAGAACTCTCTCTCTCTCTCTCTCTCTCTCTCTCTCTCTCTCTCTCTCTCTTGTGTGTGGGTCTGAACAAAGGATGGTGCAATGAGCTCACAGCTCTCTCTCGAGGAGATATACATATTAATTGGGGCATATGACAAGTATATTTTCGGGATCTGCACAAGTTTCACAGGTCTTGGTAGGGGCATATGGGAAAGATGTCGAGTCCAAATATTGAGTGGGGCATTTCAAGAAGTTTTAGATCTGTGAGGAGGGTATTTTTGCCGTACCACTGCACTTTTGGGGTATCTAACAAAATACCTCAACATTTCACGGCATTCAATATTTTTTCTTTATTAAAAAAAACGCTTTTATTGTGAATCAAGAATAAGGGGAAACCCGAAAAAATCCCTCCACAATCAATACGTTGTAGTGGCACCATTCTCAAACTTGGGTGCGGAGACTAAGGATAGAGTCAGGATAAATTTTGGGTGGTTGTCCAGAACCACGGTATACACGAACTTCGAAATTCCACTTCAGCCCTGGGAGATCCTGTGTGTGGACTCTCTCATGAAAACTGTAAGCACTCATGTTGATCCAGGTTTAAGGACTTTTGCAAGTTCAAAGAGCCTGGTTTAAGGACTTTTGCAAATTCAAAGAGCCTGGTTTAAGGACTTTTGCAAATTCAAAGAACCTGGTTTAAGGACTTTTGCAAATTCAAAGAGGAAGGACTATAATTCCCCCTTGCCGCTTTGACCAACAAACACTACCTTATTTTGTTTGGCGATGCGCACAAACCAGGTTACAATTGACTAAAACATTATCCTTAATTATGAAAATAATAGTGAACGAATCTTATATCCTTCGACATATTGACACTAAATTTGAAAGACAAGTTATATATAATTTTCTTTTATCATAATAAAAACAAACTCACTTCAACTGTGTATACACATAAATTTTATATTTTATTATCAATTATGACATCCTCCTCTAGAATATATATTGCATATGCGGATTATCCTTAAACCAAGATAATGCCATAGTTTCTAGGCGTCATTTCCATGCGCACGGGGGGTCCTTAAAAAATTTGATCTTGGACTCGAGAGCTCAGCCAAAGATCTTTGAAGATCTACGGCAGAGATTCGTGGAGGACGTCCCCAGGACCCGCACGTTTTCGAAATCGAGTTCAAACTGCGTGAGCCTGAGGACGGGGGTCCCCCGTGTTGCCATTCCGCCCGCCATTTCGTCGTCGTCGCCGTCATCGGTCAGGTGTCGCCATTGCCATTCCGAACAGCGAAGGTAAGTGTTCTTCTTCTTCTTCTTCTTCTTCTTCTTCTTCTTCTTCTTCTTCATTGAACTTCTCCACCCGCTCCTCCTCCTCCTCCTCCTCTCCTCCCCCTCCACATCTTCTTCTTCGTTCAACTTCTCCGTGTGCTCGTCGTCTTCCACTTCTCTCCCGCCACTTTGTTCCTTCTCTTCCGCCATCGTCCACCTCCCTCCCGCGACTTAGTTCCTGCTCTTCTGCCATCTCCCGCCACCTCCCACTACCCTCCTGCTACCTCCCACTAACCCTCCCACGTCCCTCCCGCCATCCTCCACCTCCCTCCCGCCAATCCTCCGCCTCCTTCCCACCTCCTACCTCCCCTCTCACCATCTCCCACTTCCCTCTCTCCTTCTTCCACCTCCCTCCCGCCATTTCCCACCTCACTCTCTTTCGCCATCTCCCACTTAACTCCCGCCACCTCCTACCTCAATCCGGCCATCTCCCACCCCCCCGCATGCAACCTCCTACCTTCCCTCTCGCCATCCCTCACCTCCCCGCCAGTATGGAAAAGGCTGGTTCAGGCATATCTCTGCATGCGCAACAGCCCCCCATCACCTTTTTTTTTTTTTAAATAAAAAATAGCTCGCACGCGTGACACGTGCAACCGCCCGCCCGTGCATGGGTGCACGGGTGCACAGCCGTGCCCGCCCGGCCGGGCGGCTCAGGGAGCCTAGCATAGTTCACAAAGTCCAAGTAAGTAGATTTTACAATCGACAATATGCGAGCATTAAGCTGAAGTAGAAAGAGCTCACAATATCACTATTATCATCGTCTTATAATGTCACTTTTTCCCACTCCTGAATTGTTAGCTCGCAACGAATTACATCTCTCTATATTCTATTATATACTCTTGAAGGAAGGCGCGAGTCTCATGTGACGCTTCCCACGCAAGACCCCGCCCGCTCCCAGTTTGCTCCAGGTCGGTTCAGGGCAAGCCTTTTTTGCGGCACCCAACTTTTGTTTCCAGTTTGGCAGCAAGCGTTCGAACATCATTTTCCCACGGTTCTTTTTTTTGCGTCCGACTATCATTTCAAGTTTGGTTGCGAGTGTTCAAATATTGTTTTTCCCAATTTTTTTTTTAGAGTTCGGCGGCGACTGTTTGGGCCGAGGTCAGTTCATGCCTGTATAAATGGAGTTTGGGCAGCGTGATTGTGCAACAATAGTGTGGAACACTTGGGCGGAAGATTGCTGTTGGCGCGGTTTTATGAATGATTTCGGCAGTGTACATTTTGATGTTCTACCGGAAGATTCATTCGATTTTGCTCATCCTATTGATGGACGTAGCGTGAGGCCAGCCGCGAGGTTGAAGACTTACCAGTTCTGTCTCCCTCTCTCTGCGTCTCTCCCTCTCTCTTACAAAAAAACAAAGTGGCAGTGTATATTTCCATGTTCTAGTGGAAGATTCGTTCCAATTGTGCTAATCCTATCCATGAAAGTAGCCTCTCTCTATCTCTCTGCGCGCATAACTGGAAACCAGTATATATTTCCATATTCTACTGGAAGATTCATTCCGATTTTGCTCATCCTGTTGATGAAAGTAGTCTCTCTCTCTCTCTCTCTCTCTCTCTCTCTCTCTCTCTCTCTCTCTCTCTCTCTCTCTC